CTATGGGTGCCGAAACCAACTTTTCTTTTAAAACGTCAAATGATTCTCTGCATTCTTGATCGAAATTGAAGGTTTTATCTTTCTGTAACAATTCACATAATGGTTGCGCCACCTTGGAAAAATTCTTAATGAACCTGCGGTAAAATCCTGCATGACCAAGAAAAGATGGATTTCCCTCACAGTAGTGAGGTATGGAAGTGAACGTATTATATTGGTTTTCTCCTTGTCTACTACAATTCCTTTTGAAGAAACTATATGGCCTAGAATTAAACCCTTGTCAACCATAAAATTACATTTTTCATAATTCAAAACATTTGCTAAGTTTAATAGACACTCATTAAATGAATTACCATAAACAGTGAAGTCATCCATGAAAACTTCAATACATTTCTCAATATAATAAAAAAAATACTAATCATACACCGTTGGAATATAACAGGTGCATTGCAAAGTCTGAAAGGTATTCGTCGATAAGCAAATGTGTCGAAGGGGCATATGTATGTCGTCTTTTCTTGATCTTCAGGTGCTACTAGAATTTGGACAAAACCTAAAAATCCATCAAGACAACAATAGTGAGTCTTACCGGCTAGTCTTTTTATCATTTGATCTATGAATGGAAGAGGAAAATGGTCATTTTGGGTTAATGAATTCAACTTCCTGTAATCGATGTAGACCCTCTATCCATTCTGAACTTGTGTTGGTACGAATTCTCCTTCAGAATTTTTTATCACAATAACTCCTATTTTTTAGGAACTACATTTATCGAACTTACCCATTTACTATATGAAATTGGATATATAATATTTGCATCAAGGAGTTTTTGTATCTCATTTTTTTACCACTTTCATCATTGGTGGATTTAGCTGGCGTTGACCTTCATGAGTTAGTTTTACATCTTCTTCAGTTTTAATTTTGTGCATACATATAGATGGACTTAATCATTTTATGTCGGCGATGGTCCATCCTATAGCCTCCTTGTGTGTGCGCAAAACCATTATTAAATCTTTTTCTTCTTCTTTGGATAATCATTTCGATATGATCACTGGAAAAATGTTATTTTCCCCAAGGAAAGTGTAATTCAAGTGATCCAACAACATTTTCAGTTCAACTTTAGGCGCCTGCAAAACAGAAGGCAGAACCTTAGGCTTAGAAAAAATCAATTTTAATTCAACACAATCAGAATATATATTTTTTTCAACTTCCTGATTTCCTCATTATGATCTTCTAACTTCCTACATAGATCAAAGGAAAAAATAGTCCTTAAAAACTCACCAGCCAATGGATCCATTATATCAACATAATTTATACTCTCCACTTTGTCAAGATATCTCATTGCCTTATACACATCAAACTTCACGATCTCAACATCAAACTCCATGATTAAAATCCCGCTTTTTACGTCAATCTTTGTGAGTGTGGTACTTAGGAAATGACGCCTCAATAAAATATCAGAAGATGTGATTGTGCAATCATTCTCCATATCAATTATACAAAAGTCAGCGGGAAATATTAAATCGTTTACCTCCACCAGCACATTTTCCAAGAGTCCTTCCAGATAGATCACATATATGTCGGCAAGTTGAATTGATATTTTTGTATCATTCAAAGGTTTGTTAGTAATCATAATGTAAACAGAGTATTGCGAACATACTTTGGTCTTTCAGTTTCTGTGGTAACTTTCGTTAGAAGACAGCTGAGACGTGTTCTCCCAAATTCACCTTCTCGACCCCAAAAAGCTTTCTCTTTATCATACAAATAACCTTTAGAAACTGGGCATATCTTGGAACCCTTCGGATAACCTCAAGGAGAGGTATATTGATTTACACCTTCCGAAACACGTCTAGTATTTCCTTTTCCTCGTCTTGTTTTCTCTTTTTACTAACCTTGATGGAAAAGGTGGTGGAACATCATATGGAGATGGTGTTGGATTTGTTTTTACTTCGTCAATCTTCTTCTGAGATCCTGAATCAACAGATTTCTTTCCTTTTTGGATTGCTTCATGTTTTGGAATAGGTGGTGCGACTATTATACCACTCTAAAGAGTGATGGCGCAGACATTCTCCCTTGGATTTACCTCGGTTTAAGATGGAAGTTTACCTTGTGATTCAAAATGTCTTACGATCTGAGCCAGTTGGCTCATTTTCTTGTTCATCTATTGTAAGTGGGCTTCTTTACGAATCTTGAACTTTTCCTAGGAAAGAGCTAATCTTTCAACAATTGATTATAAAGATGACTTCTGCAGCTGTTGGGGTGGTAGAGGTAGCCTTGGTTGATAAACTTGTTTTGGCCTTGAGTTTTGAGCGTAACTAAAATTTGGATGATCCCTCCATCATGGGTTGTAAGTGTTGTTGTAGGGATTATAAGCCCTCTGGGAAGGTCTTGGAAAGTTCCCTAATGCATTAACTTAAGCTTTTGTGTCATCTTGAATCAATAGATAGACGTCTGTTTGATGATTAGGTAGTGCACATATTCCACATAATCTGTTGGGTCCTATTTTTCCTGTAATAAGAGAGTTGACTAATTCGGTTAATTTATCTATTTTACTTTCTAAAGAAGATGAAATTATTTCATGAACCCTTCGAGGAGGTTCATTAGTTGGGCAGAACGACTGGGAATTTATGGCCATTGTGGAAATTAAATCCCTAGCCACAGCAGTAGTCATGTTCACCAAAGCTCATTCGTTGGTAGCATCGATCATCTTTATTTCCAGTGGAGTTAATCCTTCATAAAAATATTGAATGAGTGTTTGTTTGGTTAACCCATGTTATGGGCAACTAGCATATAATTTTTAAAATCTCTCCCAGTAGTCATAGAGTGACTCCCCTATCAAGTTACTTGATTCCAAGTATTCTTCTTTGTAACTCATTTGCTTTCGCCGCAGGGAAAAACCTGTCAAGAAAAAGGTGAGTCATTTGAGGCCATGTAGTAATAGAATTTGGCGATAGATAAAATAACCACTCTTTGTCCAAATCAGCTATGGGAAAAGGAAAAGTTTTAAGTTTGATTTGATCCTCAGTTACACCCTGTGGTCTCATGCTGGAGCAGACCATGTGAAATTTTGTGAGATGTTTATGTGGATTCTAATTTGGTAATCCGTGGAAGGTATGAATGAGATGAATAAGGCCAATTTTTTAACTAGTATGGAGTTTCGCCTTGAGAAAAATCAATGCACAAAGGCTCTTGTTTAGTACGAGATGCGGCTAGCTCTCTGATAGTAGGATCGACCATCGGATTTGGTTCGGTATTAACAACTTCACCTGAATTTGATTCTAAATTTGATTTTGGATCTGATTATTGTCTCATTATTTTCTCAAAGTGTCTATACGTGAAGTCTCTTAGCTCTGGCTTCGATTTTCGAGTCGTACTCCACTAATTCACCCGAGTTTGTCCCGATCATAAATCAAAAGCAAACAAAAATTAGTAACTTTGGCGAAATCCCCGACAACGGTGCCAATTTAACAACTGTTGTTTTGATGTCAAAATAAATTCCTTCTTCTCAATTAATAAATAAAGAAAATACGTACTAAAGAGAAGTAAGGGTCGATCCTCAGGGACTTAGATAATTCTAAATTTTTGTTTGAATTGCTTAAACTAAGCGATAAGTAATAAAAAGGGGGTTTTGGTAAAAAGATTAAACAATAAAAATTGATTTAAAGAAAAATAAAGAAAATAAAAATTGAAGGTTGAAAATGAATATGGTAAAACAGCCTCAAGCCTCGCTTTGAATCAATTTCCTTCGGATCATCGAAATAGATTTTCCCTTTGGGATTCACGTCGGTTACTTTGTCTACAAGAGCAATCCTCGTGACTCTATTTTGTATACCGAATACCCAAAGCAATCTTTGATTCTGGCTTCGAAAATTGATCTGATCAACATCAATTGTCGTAGATCAATAACTGTTTAAGTTCGTGAAGATCGACTCGGATTGTTGTTTCAATAACTACTAATTCCGATCTTAATTCCATCTTGGCAAGACAATCTAGCCAAGTGTGTTCCTAGGAAGTCGAATGTGCTTTCAATAAGTCGATCATTCCTCTCACACATTTAATTGCAACAACATCTTGACCAAAGTCAATCTTTGATTTTAAAAATTGTTTTGATTTTGAAAATAAGCGCAGAGATTAAGAGAGATATTCCGAAGTTATTCAAGTGCTTTTCAATTCTCACGTTGGAATTAAGTTATCACTTCAGCTCTCGGCTTATGAGAAAATTTGCTAAGCATGAAAACGTCATACTTAGCATGTTTAAAAATAAAATTTAAAATAAAAATGAAAACGAAAACGAAAACGAAAACGAAAACGAAAACTTGAAAAGAAAAGAAATAACTTTATAAAATTAGAAAGAAGAAGAAGAGTAAATTATGAGTTGTGAATTTAGACTTACCCCAAGAGGGTATTTATAACCTCTAAAACCCTAGAGATAAACATAGAAATTAAAATAAAAATAATCCTAAAGATAATTCTAAATGTTTTTTAAATTCAAACTTTAAAAATTTAAAAATAAGTCTCCTAATATATTTTGCCCGTCCACCTTCCAGAAGGCACTGACTAGATCTTCTAGAAAACTATTATTGATTGGACCTTCTATAAACTGTCACGTCAGACTGTGTCATGCTCATAGTCGTCCTCATGTCTCCAACTGTGACTAAATAATAAAAAAATACAGAATGCACCCGTTTTACTACTAATTCTGGAAAGTAAGACCCTACATGAAAATAAGCATAACACAACCAAATCAACAGCAATAAATCCATAAGATCGAAGAATTAACGAGCAAATATTATCGATTCAGAACACTCATCATAGAAACACCTAGCTGATGTTATATATTGTTCCCCTAGCTTACACTTCTTTGGTAAATTCTAATTGAGTATTCCCCATCAATCATCTTTGAAATTCATCAAATGTTAATGCTGAAGTAAAAAAATTCAACTGGACATCCTGATATCATGTAGCGTTATCCGTAGATGTTGTTCTTCCTGTTCTCTCCCTGTGTTGACATTTCATACTGACAATACTTCGCAGATATCTTACTGGAACAAATGACGAGTTTGCTTTGAATATTGCATACACAACATTTCTTCAGTTTGCGGAATTTGCAAATGCATTTAAGATTGCACTTTTCTTTGACGACCTGCAGGTTTTCTTCTGTTATGTTCCTATCTTCATTCCCCATGGCATATTTGAGAAACTCCCTTCTTAAGATATCAGTGTGTGTTTCATTTGTGAATTTTATTAGAATCGGCAATGTAGAAGTCTTGTTTTTTTAGGAGTCTTTTATGATAAGAAAAAAGAAGTCTTAGGAGTCTTTGAAATCTCTATTTCTAGATAGAATTTTATCTTTAGCAGAAAAAGTCCTATTAAAAGTCATCATGTGGGTTTATTTAAACTATTGTAATCTCATAAATTCAATAATCAGTTTCTCTTCCATTGCCTCTTTTATTCTTTCCCTCTCATTTGGTTTATTTCCTTAGATTATAACAAATTTAATTCTTCCTAACAAGTTGGAACGTGCTCTTGCAGCATGTGGAACAAGTGTTCACTTCTTGTGATGATCTGCTGAAGAAGAAACAATTTTGCTACATTCTTGCTCGACATGTAAGTATTAGGTTTTCTCTGGCTTTATTCTCTGTGTCTAAAAGCATTTGAACTATTTATAGCCAAGTACGTCACTTGGTTTAGATTTTCTTTTAATTATGGATGATCGAAGTTTTATTTTCTCATGGTCAAAATTGGGTACTTCGAATTTAAGTTGAAATTTCTTTAGAATTGTTAGCCCATGTATGCATGTGTATGAGTATGGGTTTTTATTTGTTTTTGGCAGGGTTTGATTTTCAGCTTGATGATGAGATGTGTAGGGTTGATGACGACAGAATACTTTTACAGGATATCATCAACAATTCTAAATTAAGTGAAAGTTATCTATCTCTTGCCCGTGATATGCAGGTTATGGAACCTAAATATCAAGAAGAAATCTATAAGGTTTCGACTTCAAGACTTGGTAAACATTTTGGGATAGTGGATGAAATCTGGCGCTGTATAATGCCCCTGCCCCCTTCTTTTTCTCCCTGTAGTCTTATTGATTCTTTTTCCTAATGGAGGAAGCGCTTACTTGCATGCTTAGTTATTACAGTGACATCTATTCACTTTACATTGTCATTGCCCGTGTTTACTATTTTTCACTTCATCAAATTGATGCATTACGTGAATGGTTTTGTTAGGCTGACTTTCTTGATGGTCACGCTTGTGCTGGTGCAAGTTTTGGTTCAGCTGGAAAAGTCTTGGCTGCTACATTCGTCAATGCATTTGTCAATGCAGGCTTGCACCAGGTATTGTTTGCAAACATAAAAATATGAAAGCATAGGAGCTTAGTTGTTTTATATCAGTTAATATTTTTCTCTTGCAGGACAAGTTAATGACAGTCCCAGCAGACTCTTCAAGTGGTGGTTCATCTGGAAATTGCAAAAACAAAGAACATGGGAAGAGCAGTGCTGAAGCAAGTTTGGTATGTTTATCGGATTGCAAAATTTGCCTCGGTAAATTTGATTAGCCAAAAAAAAAAATTGCCTCGGTATGGGCATGCATAAGGCCATAAGCCATTACTTGATTACTTGTTAGGAATTTAGTTAAATTTAAATTTCCATCACTTTCTCTATAACAGGGCATGATTCTATTGTGGGATGTCGACTTTGGGCTTGCTCATATTCACAAGTATATCCATAGCAATGATAACTTAGTGATTGCTGGAGCACTATTAGGAATTGGACTCGTCAACTGCAATGTTAATAATGATCTTGATCCAGTGAGTTCCTTATCCTCTTCATCTCTATGTTTGTTCACAAAGTATAACGTTTGCTATTATCTGTCTTTCTTTTCAGGCAAGGGGAATTCTGCGCGAATACATAGGTAATGAAGATTCTTCAATCCGAATTGGCGCAATTATGGGTTTGGGAATTGCATATTCAGGTGCCCAAAGCGAGCAGGTATACATTTCTCTCTCCTGTCTGCGAACCTGGTAGGTCATGGATCTGGCCATTATGCACTTTTATGAGAAATGCAGTTCGGGTGCTATTTTCTCATTGGATGAGATTCATCTAACAATTCTATCGATTTTTTGCTTTTTTTTTTTTGGGGGGGGGGGGGGAAGTGGGGAGCTGATGCGGATGTGACATTTGTTTCTAAAGAAAACTTACCACTGTTATTTATAGATACGTAGGCGACTGACTGCCATACTTAACGATGGAAAAACCCCCTTGATGTGATAGCATTTACTGCAATTTCATTGGGTTTGATCTATGTGGGTTCCAGCAATGCGGAGGTTGCAGATGCTATTGTAGATGCTTTAATTGCCAGAAGCGAGCCGGAATTGGAGGTCCCCTAACTCGACTTCTTTCCCTTAGTCGTGGTCTTATATTCCTTGGGAAGCAGGTAAATAAGTTGTTCTCGGTTCCTGATAGACCTTTTTCAGAAAGCAGTAGTCTGCTCCTGACTGTTCAGCAAATGCTACTCTAACAGGAGGAACGTTTGGAGGCTAAATCTGATTTCTTAGAAAGGTTTAATAAAAAGATAAGAAAGTACTGGGATGTAACACTGCTTTCTTGTGCCTATGCTGGAACACGGAATGTTCTGAGCCCTGTTTTGTTCAAAGAATATTGTATTACCGAGAGAATGAAATCCTCATTCCCCTATTGGGTTGGTTAGTATCTTATTTTTTGTAGATTTTTTTAGGTATATTACCGGGAATGTGATTACTCCTTCCCTTAAGTATTTTTAAATTATTGGCGTTTTGGACTAAAATGCCCTTAATTTTTGTTTTCAAAAATATCATTCTTCTGTCGTTGATAATAAAAATTCTACGAAAGTTAAATTAAAAATTTATCCTTAAACTATTTTAGATTTACAAAAAAAATCTATAATTAAAATTTTAAATGAAGTTCAGGGATTAAAATAAAATTTTACTCTTTCATTAAATCTATTTATATTTTTAATTTTGTAAAAAAAAATTATATAAATTTTATGAATTTAAATTTTTAAAAAATATATATATAAATTAATTATAGTAGAATTCAATTTATTAAAAAAATAAATATATAATAAGGACAATTTGGTCAAATATATATTTTAATAATATTTTATTCTTTTAACCAAATACGTTAATCTTACATTCCTGCTAAACCAATCATACACAAAATACAACATTTTCAATAATCCTATTATCTGGTAATCATTTATTCTCATTGGTAATCTTACATTTCGTGAATCAAACGCACCTTAAAAGTCATTTCTGAAATCCATTAAAATGCAGTTCAATACTAAAATTAGTCTACAAGTTTGGCTAAACTATTTTATATAAAGGTCCAGGAATTTCTCAATCATTGTTCTGATCATCTCAATAATGGTGAAACCCACCAGGGTCCTGCTGTGCTTGGAATTGCCATGGTAGCAATAGCTGAAGAGTTGGGCCTTGAGATGTCAATTCGTTTACTGGAGCGTCTTTTGCAGTACAGTGAACTGAATATCAGGCGTGCAGTTCCTTTTGCTCTTGGTCTTCTGTGTATATCAAACCCAAAGGTACCCTTGTTAAATTTTGCTGAACAACTTATTTCACTATTTGCTAACCCAGCTCCAAAATCCTAGATTTAAGTTCAATATGTTTAGAAAGCTGCAGAGAGATTATTTATCTTCTTTTCTTTTTTAAAAGACTCTATCTCTCACTATTTTTTACTGGTTGTGCATTTATTCTACAGGTTAATGTGATGGACATTTTAAGTAGGCTTAGTCATGATACAGATTTAGAAGTTGCAATGGTAAGACGGTAATAGTAGACTCTAAGTTATTGTTCTTCCCCTCAGCTTGCACTAATGTATGGATGCTACAGGCTGCTGTTATCTCCTTGGGTTTGATAGGCGCTGGAACCAACCATGTTCGCATAGTTTTCATGCTTGGCAATCTTTCAAGTTATTACTATGGAGTTGATTGCCTTTTATTCTGTGTACGTCATTTTGTGCTTGTCTTAATAGTTTCTTGTACGATTCTTGTGCTTTTGCTATAAAAGCCAAGTCTTCATTGTTTTCACAGGTACAAATTGCTCAAGGTTAGTACATTTGGGGAAGGGTTTATTGACACTAGATCCCTACCATTGTGATCGCCTATTACTATCACCGTAAGTAGTTGTTCTACATACACGAGCCTTCACTGAAATGATAAAATAAGATTCACAAAATGATATAGGTTCACAGTCAACTTGGGGGGAGTGGTTTTCTTTCCGTAAAATGCTAGTATGTGCTTCATTTTAGTTGACCTTGTAAAAACATGATTTTCTTTTGTTATCAAGCAGGACTGCTTTTGCTGCTTTGATTATAATGCTGCATGCATGTCTTGATATGAAAACTATCATATTGGGGAAATACCCTTTTGTTCTTTACTTCCTTCTTTTGGCGATGCGGGTTCGTTCCAGTATATTGGCTTATGCTACTGGCATATGCTACAGGGTTTCCAGACTTTTCTTTTCCTTTCTCCCTTTTCCACGTGTTTTATATCCCCTAAAAAGGAAGATGTAACATCCTCAATACCGGATTAATGACTAAATTGTAAAAATTTCAGAAGTTGGTGATTAAAGTAGAAAAGTTGAATAGTTCAATGATTTATTTGGAAATATTTCTTGAAAGTTTTTAGTAATTATTAAATGAAGTAAAGGGCAAATTGGTCATTTGACATGAAAGATATTTTTTCTCCTTTAATAGGAGAGAACACGTAGGGTGAGAGTAATCTGGAAAACTCTCTTCTTCTTCTCCCTTCTTCTTCCTCCTCCCCGTGAAAGCCAGGCAAAGGTAAGATTTCTTTGTTGTTGATTATTAGCTGAAATTTAAGTCGGGTTTTGATCATTAGATGATAACTAAGCTTAATGAAAGCTTAAGTTATCTTAAAATCAAAAGATAAAAGAGTTATGAAAGATTAAAGAGAATGAGTTTTTAAGTGAATTTATGGAAAAGAGTTGATAAGTTGAATTTGAAACTAAATTTGACTTGTTATCAACTTAATTAAGAGAAATGAAGTGATAGAATTGGATTAAGAGCATCTTGAAAATTTGGTATGATTATTGATTTCTACATGAAATATGGAATTTTGAGGTTAAGGATGTATTGAATGAGTAGAAATTAGTTTAAATATATGTACTTGAGTTAAGAATGGAAAAGGGAATGAAACATGAAGAATTTAAGCTGAAAATGATGAATTTCGGGTGAAAAAACATGTTTTGGGCAGAGTGTATCGGTACCCTATGTATGTGTACCGATACCCTCTTGAACGAAAAATTTCAGAATACAATAAGGGTACCGATATCTTAAGGAGTGTATCGATAACCCTAAAGGAAAAATGAATATGGGTCTATTAAATTTGTTTAAGTTATTAGCATCAAATTACAAGGTGTAGATATCTGATAATTACCTTAAAAATGTATGATTATGTAGATATCGAGTACAAGCAAGTTTTAAAACGACAGTAAAGTTCGAATGGGTCATCAGAGTAAGATTCAAGAGAGAACAAAATTGGTATTGGCAAGTAGCTAAGGTGAGTACATGATAATAAAGGTAAGTTATGCTATGGAATTAAGACTTTCGATAAGTCTATTTCCTATATTAGAATGCATGAATTTATGATTATAAGTATGTGAATGACATGATTTGTATGTAAGCTTGATTATATGAGTTGATAGGTTATGGTATGTGTTATGTGTTTTATGTGAGTATAAAAGATAAGTCATGTGATAAAATCTATGTGATATATGGAAATGAAAATATATGAGTATTAAGAGTTATAAGAGAATAAATATAAATTATATGATGGAGTTTCGTAATGTTTTAATCGTATTTATGTAAATGATAATTTATTGTGATGAAAGTTTAAATTTTATGAGTTTTATACATGTTTTGCCAAAATTACTGTAGTAGGGTATCGGTATACTGTAGCAGGGTATCGATACCCCTGTAGCATTTTGGAAAATTTTAGCATTCGATACTATTCACGATACTGTTTATTACTGTTTATAGTACTGTTTATTACTGTTAACGGTACTGTTCATTACTGTTTATAGTATTGTTTATTATTGTTCACGGTAATGTTCATACCGTATAGTACTATTCATAAAAACGTTTCTTTCCTTAAATTTGTTATAACGAACATCATTCAACAATAAAGTGTGTAATAATATGAGAATATGATGAAAGTGAATTCCTGAGAACAATAGGAACTTAAACATGTGTAAAGGTTATACAAATAATAGAAACATGGATGAGACAAGTACATAGTGGTATGATTAATTATGAGAATTAGTGCATTAGAGTTATATGATTTATGGAGAATTGAAGAAAACTAGAGAAGATTGAATTATAGAATGAACTAAGAATAATATAACACTTATGAAACTTGAATATAAAGTGATGATATGCACATATAATATAACATATATGTTTATAAATATGACATAGGTTATGTGTTTTATAATAAATATGAACATATGAGAACAACAGATAAAACAAGTGATTTTGTGATAGAAGCTATATGACCTTGAATGATGTAAATATGAATAATTTAAGTAATATGTAACTATGAGTATTGGAGTATGTATCTATGTGATGTGATATATGAGGTCATATGAAATATTATACGACTATGTGATTGTATGAAAAATAATATAGGTATATGTGAATTATATTAAAATGAACTACGTGACTAGATGAGATTATGAGAAGAAGAAAATGAACACATGAATTTATGACTTTGAGAAGTCATAATAATAAAATATAAGCTATGCAAAAGTGATCTACGTGATTATATGTATATGTGATCCAAGTTTTGTGACATAAGCTACGTGATATGTGAAAGTGAACTACGTGTTATGTGAAATGATAAGTATAAAGATAATGCTCATGTTATGTGTCATGAGATCTAGAGGTATAGTTGGCATGCCAAGAGTCGAGGGTCTACGCGGTCCTTCGGGACAATTCTACGTGGTCCTTCGGGACATATATGTATTCTTTGGAACATGTATGAGGTCTTTTGAGACACCTACTTGATCATTGGTATATGCATATGATTCTTAAGGAATTTCTATGTGGTCCTTATGGACAATCTTATATGGCACTATGGTGCATTTCTACGCGGCACTTTGGTGCAAATTCTACGTGGCACTTCGGTGCATTTATACGAGCTGTGGTGACAGTATTTGTGCACAACCTCAACGTACTCACATACCTTAAGTTCTCTACAATATACAAGGGCTAATCAAGCAATAATATAAATATATTATATGTGATATATGTATGTGTGACATGTTATGAGGAATGGATTACAAGGATTATATGATGCTATGCATGATAGAATATAAGTTGTTTTGTGTGTATTGTTTAATTAAGAATGACTAAAAGATATAAATGATAATGGAATGAGGTAAAGATGGAAAAGATGAGTTATGTATATGAATATATTGGATTATATGAAATGTTATATGGTTTTGCATGCATATGATAGTATTAATTGTATATGCATTGTTATAAGTAAGAGTTTAAATTATATGTTTTATATGGTTTTGCATTATATGACTTAGTGTGTGAGTGTTTCATACGTAGGTTTTGACAAGCTTAGGGAACGATAAAGAGCAAGACAGGTCAATTTCTCCTTACTGAAGGTCAGATCAGAAGAGAAACAAATAGTATGTATTTTATAATATAGATTGTAGTTGGCATGTAAATAAAGGTTTGAATCTGATATGCTCTAATCGGTTTTGTAAAATCATATGATTGTAATTTATGTAAATATAGTTGTGTGTTAATAAAAATTTTAAAATTATTCACTATTTTGTACAAGTAAATATTTTGAAATGTCAATGTGACACCTCGGATTCGTATTCGGGTCGAGTACGAGTTGGGGGTGTTACAGAAGATAAAAAATTCTTCTTGTGAAAAGACCATAATGACCTTCTAATAATCCAATTTTGCTATCAAGTCCTAAACAAAATTCCACAATAAATCCTTAAACTTTTCAAGTTATTCCAATTAAACCACTAAGTTTTGAATTCTTACAATTTGGTCACTGACCCGATATTTGAGATGTTACAGATGATCATTTATGGTTTCGTGTATTAAATACTGTACAGAGATCAGGTTCAACAGTTCAGTAATTAAGTATGAAGTGTTGGAGACTTTGGAGTTCACTTCTGATAGGAAAAGAATGTCAGTGGTTGTTAAAGATTGCCAGAAGGGAAAAATTTTACTTTTTTTGAAAGGTGCTGATGAAGCAATTCTTCCTTATGCTTGTGCTGATAATGTTTTTATTCAATGCTTATCTTGGTATTTTTTTAGTTCAATCTATTTGTTTGGTGATTGACTTTGTTGGCAGTGTGGCTGCATGTTTTTCTCTTGATAAGATTATTGACGCCTGTATGTCTGCGTGATTTAATTATTTTATGATTGTTACATCATGAACTTAATTTTATAGAAAATTCTGGGAATGTATCAACTTTAACCCATGTTTAGAGTTTGCCACCCTCTTTTTACTATTTCTTAAAGTTCTTTAATATCTTTGATGGGATCTCGTTCTAATCAGATAAAAATATTACAAAATTTTAGCAGCTAGAACTGAAAAGGTTTGCTATGGTGGCTTTTGTTGTTTCTGTCTTTTTCACAGGCTCTCTTTATGATGGATCTTGATGTTGTTGTGACATTACTTTGTACACTTATGGTAAAATCATTACTTTTTCAGGGCAACAAACAAGAACATTAATTGAAGCGGTACAACAATATGCTTGTCGTAACCGGTTTTCGCCCGGGCACAAATTTTTACTTGGCGGGAAAAGTGATGTTAATAAATTAATGATTTTGATTTTTTTTTAAAATATTTTGAGAGCCGCCATCGGCCTTTTGGGTCAGGTAGGTCGAAAACCTAAAAATCATCTTTTAAAAGAGCTTTTAAGAAAACATCGATTAAAAGATAAATTGATCTGCGTTTTAAGCAAAAATTCATTCTTTTTAATAATAAAAGGGATTCGTGGTCGGTTACGTTTAGGGAAGGATTAGCAACCCTACAACGCCCAAAAATGGTACTTTTTAATTATAAATTGTCTCTATTATTAAAAATTCAAAATATATTAAATTTATAATCCTATTTAATTCAAATATTTTTAAGAAAATAAATCAAACATAAATAAGATATTTACTTATTTAGAAATATTAGAAAATGACTTCTAGGTGCCTTAAGACAGCTCTTTTCTTCGATATTAATAAATATTATAATAATAAAATTAAATTATAATTTTTTATCATAATATTTAATTTTAAAATACAAGAATAGGACATTCAGTTGTATTAAGACTGTCATTTTCTTTGATATTGAAAAATAAATAAATATTAAAATATGATAAAAACATAATTTATGTAAAATCAAATTAATATTTAAAATAAATTATTATTTATTATATATATTTATATGACTATATAATAATAAAAAATATTTAAATATAAACAAGTAAAATTAAAACATAAATAAACAATAATAAAAATAAAATTAGAACTATATATTTAAAAGCAGTAAAACTTTATAATAAATGAAAATATTTAAAATTAGTGACTAAATTATAATCTAATAAAATTAAATACCTAATTCGTAATTAATTATTTAAAATTATAGGGATTAAACATGCTATTATCCTTATTTATTAATTTGGTGACTAAAATAAAATTATATAAAATTCATATATCAAATTAAAATAAATTGAAATATGTTGTTCGGGGTTTAAAATATCAATTATTAAAATTAAAGGACTAAATATGATATTTATCCTAAATATATTATTTTAATATAAAGGACTAAAATAAATAAAATTAAAGTTAAAGAACCGAATTAAAAGGATTATAAATTGATTTAGTGACTAAAATGTAAGGATTATAAATTAGGATGGCTGCGGAAAGGGTTTAACTTTTAGTTAATTACAGACAGACCCCTCCCCAAAACGACGTCGTTTGGGGAGGGCTATTTAAGTCCTATAATCGGCTGGCCCGAAGGGCCAGCTCTCATTTCTCCTCTTCACTCTCTCTCTTCTTTGAGAGAGTTTTAAAAACTCTCTCGCTTCTCTCTAAAACAGAGAGAAGCAACGGCCGGCAGCCGTTTGCCAACGTTAACCCCGCTGCCGGCCACCGCATCCGGTGGCCGAAAAAAAAAATTTACACCTAAATATAGATCGGACCATCCTATTGATGGTTCCGATGACCGTTTCCCTTAAAACATTCCCGATCGGAGCAAATCTTCGAAAATACCTTCGGTTTTCGAAGGTTTCCGATGACGTGTGAAGGCTCATGTGATGTTGCAGCTTCCTCAGTAAGTATCTCTCCGTCTTCTCTTTGCTTATTGTGGTGTTTGTGGTTGTTGGTTTGCTCGCTTTTTCCTTGTTTTTTTTTTCTTTTTCTCTCTCTGTTGGTTGCCGTGGTTGCCTTCTTTTTTTTTCTTTGCAGGTTGTCAATGGCTTTATAGCCATCACCGGTGTGGCTATCGGACCGGGTAAAAGAGTGGAGTCTGGTGAGTCACCGGACTTCCAGTGGTGACTCACCATTGGGGCGACATGTGTGCGGCTGGAGTGGCTCTTCTGGAAGCTTTCGACGAGACGTGGTAGCGGTGGAGATGGTGGGAGTAGCTGCGGCGGCCGCGTGGCCCTAGGGTATCATCACCCTAGGGTTTGTGCTGAATGAGTGTGGGCCGTTGGATCTCTCAGATCCAACGGCTGAGATTGAGGCGGCTGGCGCACGGAGCTAGGGTTAGAAAACCCTAGCTGAAACCCTAAATGTTTTAGGGTTTCCATCTAGTTTGGGCCAACTGGTTGTTTGTAACTGGGCCGGTCCAGTTTTCATTGGGCATGTAATTATTTTTTAATAATAATAATAATAATAATATATAATAATAATAATTATTATTATAATAATAATAATAAATAAATAAAATGGGTAAAAAATTAGTATCTTCAGCTGCCCCTCTTTGCTCATTCTTGTGTTAATAAGAATAGGGCAAAGACGAAAAGATAATAAATTTTTTTTATCCATTTGACTTCACTTGATTATAATGGTAATGTTGAATAATTTCTTCTTTGGGATTAGTTCTTCTAATTATAAACTTTTCCACTAGGGATGACAATTTATCTCCTTCTGTGATGTAATCTGGAAATGTTGATGTTGATCTATCTCTTTCTGTGATAGAATCATGCAAAAGATTGAACAAGTTCTTCTCATTATGAACTTCTTCTTCCTTCTTCAAATGAGTTCTTCTCATTATGAACTCGACCTGGTACTGATGTTCCACCGAGTGATGAATTTAAGCAAAAAGTTGAACAAGTTCTTCTCATTATGAACTTCTTCTTCCTTCTTCAAATGAGTTCTTCTCATTATGAACTCGACCTGGTAATGCTGATCCATTGAATGATGAATTCAAGCAAAAAGTTGAACAAGTTCTTCTCATTATGAACTTCTTCTTCCTTCTTCAAATGAGTTATTCTCTTTATGAACTCTAACTGGCACTGCTGTTCCATCGAGTGATGAATTTAAGCAAAAAGTTGAACAAGTTCTTCTCATTATGAACTTCTTCTTCCTTCTTCAGATGAGTTCTTCTCATTATGAACTCGAACTGGAAATGTTGATCCATTGAATGATGGATTTTAATCTTTGCTAAAATCTTTGAAATTCCTGTTAAAATTCAACATGGATAAAATGAATGAAAATGCACCTATTTTTGCAAATGCCTAAATATGATGCATGAATGTTAAGTTTATTTGATTTCAAATTAGTGAACTGAGTATTTCTTCAGTTGTGTAGAAATCCAATAAATCTTTCTTCTTCAAATCGGAGAATCTATCATCTTTGACAAATGTAGATGTAGATATAATGTCACAAAATCTCTTGAGAACAAAACTCAATGGCATAGGCTCTTGAAAAGTTTGCACTCATGTAACATGTTGATTCTGATAACTACTCATCTAATTATGAAGTGATCTATCAAGATGATTTCACAGATATCGATAGTTTTTTTTTATACCGAGAAAATCCTGAATTCTGATTCTGATGAGGAGAGTAAACTGTTATACTTGACGAAAATGGGATACTCAAATGCTATGTCTTCAATAGTCATAGAGATATAATCCTGATTCATCAATTGCAGAGTTGACAGATTTTATATGTGCTGCTCAAATGGCTAAGGCTGCTGACACACTTCTTCCGGTAAAAGATAGGAAGCCATTATACAATGATCCCAATTACAAGAAAAAGCGAAACTTGGGCTATGATTTTCTTAAAAAAGAAGCAGAGGAAGCTTGAAAAGAAGCTTCTTACTGAAGACGATCATGCAATTCATCTTGCAATTCTAATGATTGGTTCTGGGGTTCCTACCGAACCAGATCAGATAACTCAAAGAACACTTCCAGAAGATGCTATTGGGTCTCCTTATTTCTACTATGAGCAAATTCATCTTTCAAATCTAATGATTGGTTTTGGGGTTCATACCAAACCAGATCAGATAACTCAAAGAACACTTCCAGAAGATGCTATTGGGTCTCCTTATTTCTACCATGATAACGTGGCATTTGCTCCAGTTGATGTTTGGACTGGAGTATCACAGTACTTATTCGATATAGAGCCAGAATTTGTAGATTTGAAGCATTTTCATGCTGCTACACTGAAAAGGGGCTATATTCATAATCTGCCAATTGAGAACAAATTTCTTCTTGTTCCGCTTCCAAATAACTCTATGATGGTAATAATTTGTTTGCTTTTTAACAATGATTGCAGACGTTGATAAGATTTGCTTTGTATTCCATGCCTTTAAAAGTATTAACATAAAGTGATATTCAGAAATCTTTAACTTATTTCAAAATTATGTTAATCTATTTACAAAATAAAAGAATAAGTTGAATTTTCGAAAATAAATTGAATTTAGAGAAAATAAACTTAGAATTTATTAATAAATATATAGAATTGTATTCAAAGTTATGGCAAGCATAGGAATGATAAAAATTCAAATGACTCAACAAATTATTAGCATAAGTATTTCTAAATTAATCAAATTGACATAATTTAGAGTACTGATGTAAGCTTTTGTCTGAAAGATCTCAAACGTTGTCAGAATGCTTGTAGATGTGAAGTTCCTCCCAAACTATCAAAATCTTAAGAAGGTTCAATTGCCAGATGCCTAATATCAACATGCATTTGAGCCACCCTTTCAGGTTTTCAACTCAAATCCTTCCTTTGGTTACAAGATGCCCTTTGTGGGTTTTCATCTTGACCCTCCTTTTTTTTTCTTTTTTTTCTTTTTTTTTCATTTTTTTCATTTTCATTTTTTTTTCATTTTTTCTTCAAGCATAATATTTCTTGACAGAATCCGAGTTTATTGGATTTCTCAGAATTTTTCCATCCATTTCTGCCAAGATCAACGCTCCTCCGGAAAAAGCCTTTTTTACAACGTATGGCCCTTCCCAATTAGGCATCCATTTCCCACGGAAATCTTTATGTATAGGCAAGATCTTTTTTTAGTACTAGATCACCCTCTTGGACTTCTCT